TGGTGTGAATCGCGGAGCATGAGTTGAGGGGGTTGGGGGGGTAGACTGGGGATCGGTGTGAGAGGTAAAGCTGGGACTAGAAAGCCAGGAGAGAGACTTGGAATACGATGCCCTCAAACAAGTTAGGGGATTTAACGGTGTTGTTCTACAGCCGTGTTTGTGGTTTATTTTGGTTACCACCCTCATCCAAGGGTTACGCTGGGGGCCAACATGAGTGCAAGCGTTGATGTTTACGGCCATGACTTGCCTAAAATATTGACACAAAGTTTGGTTGTCAGCTTTTAGCTGGCAGCCATGCTAACCCTATCCTGCCCTAATTTAACCCTAGCCTTAAACCCGAACAAAAATATAACCTAACCCTACTATTTTTATCGATAACAACGCGCACTATATATTCAGGCGTGCAATGTATAGCGAAATAGATATGCTACCCAAATCTCTCGGTAGTGACTATTCTAAAATGTAAACAAAGGTAATATGCATCACGCATAACAAACAGCCTCTATTAGTAAACAAATCGTGACTTGAGTTAATTAGCAGCTAATTAACAACAATGTAATTGTTTACAAAATAGTCAAAACACCATAGATGTCTTTTCAACAACAAATGAATTTTAATGTGAAGTTCGACTTGCTTTGAAGTGAAATAACGCCCCTTTGATGGGAACATTTTTAAACATTTATTTAGTTTTAAGTTTAAGTGTTAAGTTTTATTTTCTTTCGCTATTTTTCATTTGTATCGTTAAAGTCATCGGCCAGCATTTGTCTTATGGTTAGAATTAGGGAATCACCTTAATGAATTCAGAGTGTACAAATATAGTTTACAATAAGCCAAAAATATCTACAGCATTTAATTAAGCTATATAAAGAAAATTAAGATGAAAAAAAAAAGTTTACTAACGTAACTATGGATACGCGGAAATAAGTGACACGAACAGTCTAAAGAAATATCAGGATTGATGAGATATACAGATTTTGTCAAGACCTATATCATTATGGCTTTTTGTTGTTGTTTTATAAAATAAAGTTACTCTACTGTTTGTTTTTTGCCAACTGTCTTACTAGAGCTTTGCTTTGGAGAGTATACCATTGTAATAACCTCAAAAGTAGCAAACCATGAGAGCACTGAGAGATGGCGAAGAGGGGAGGGGGAAGGTGTGTAGCATGAGGGTCACCTTAAACCGGAGACAGACGTTTTCCTTAACCGCAGCAGCCGGCAACACCTGCCGGACTTCCCGGGGTCTAATCACAAAATCTAAAATGGGGGGTCGGTTTCAGTGAGGGAACACTGCTCCCCCTCCCCCATATAACTCCCAAGCACTTTATAACCCTGTCATTTGTTTTACTATTTCACTGGCTTAACAGGATTGTACCCCAAAAAATCTATTCAATTAAATATTAAAACGAAATATATACCGGTAGTCTGAAATCCAAATGGATTACAATTCACGCTGTCATAGTGTCAAAACGCTGAAGCAGTATTAAACACAGCCTGAAATTCCCCCTCGCTAATCTATTTTAAAGCAAAGGGGACAGCGCCCGCGCCCCACACCTCCACTATGTCATTACATAACTACCCCCCCCCCCCCCCCACTGTCAGCATGTTTAATCTAAGCTTGACTCATTTAAATTTCAAAATACCAGCCGTCTATGCATGATCTTCCACAACAGGCACTGACCTCACCTCTTCTAAAAAAAGCGTGCCCTGCCCGCCTATACATTCTTTTCAACATGATCTGCAGTGCCTGTCAAATGAGATGTAGCTGTTCCATGTAATGTTGTCTCAAGGCAGAGGGTTGAGTTCAGTCAGTGCAGCGCAGTAAAGAATCGTCTAGTCATGTACTATAACTTATTTAAGTATTTAAGGGGTACCCCACAGAGGCGTAGCGACCTTCCCGGCGCCCGGGCACAAACTTTAAATTTAGCGACACCCCCCCCCACCCGGGACAAACTTTCTATTTGATGCCCCCCCCCCCCCATATATTTTTATATTTATAATTTATAATGCAAATTTGCAGCTAAAATGAGCTTTAAATTTTTTGCAACCCATTTTGGCGCCCCCTAGGGTCGGCGCTCGGGGACATATGTACCACCCCTCGCTACGCCTCTGGTACCATCCGGACTGGGTGGACTAATCGAACCTGATTACTAACCCTAACCCAAGACTTTCAGGTTAATAATGTGGTCTAAAACTCGACGACGCCTTCCGGCTGAATAGGATAGTTATTTCATGAATTGAAGGGTGTAGTATAATGTAGGTCTTACATCGGTATTGAAAATCAGCTTGCACTAATAAAAATAGGCAAACTGCGTGTAATACTGTAAGCCCTCCATATCACTTTCTAGGTTTGAACTACTACTCAACAAATGTTACCCAATCATTCAAATAAAATATATCTTAGATACATACAACGTAAATCTAGTTACCCAATCATTCAAGCAATATGGGATTCAGTTAAATACCATTCAAACTGATTGATTATCGGCTACCCAATCATTCTAACACATTGTATCCGATTGATTTTCAGTTACAATCATTCAAACAGATTGCCTCTTGGCTACCCAATCATTCCAACCGTATCTCAGAAACCCAATCATTCAAACAAAAACGACACTGACACCAATTTTTCCAAGCACCAATAAATGCATAAACTTCTGGTCTGGCAATATCAGGTGACGAACACCCTCAGTAAACCAACGGACCAGATTGATTGTCCAATAACTAAAATGTCAATATGGGGCGCGGGTGACGCCCATTTTTACGCCCCATTCCCTGTTCTAACAACACCCCCCCCACACACACACACATTGTATGGAGCCCTCCGGTAATCAAATAAAATGTATGTGATTTATGACAGCCGCAGGTTGCCGACCCCTGGACTAGGGCAATGTAGTTGACAAACACCTTTGTTCAGTGGGGGTGCTGTAAATTTATACTTTGAGAACACGCTGGAACATAGAGTAGACATCTTATATGGCGGGGCTATAATATAATGACGTGGTTTTAAGGGTAATGTGGCTGACAAAAACCTTTATTCAGTGGGAGTGTCTTAAATTTATAGTTTGAGAACCCTATGGATAATAACTGCATGGTCAGCACAAATGTTGTTACTTCATCAGTAGCGTAGCGAGGGGGGGGGAGGGGCGGGGGGGGACATATGTCCCCTGGTGCCGACCTTAGGGGGCACCAAAATGGGTTGGAAAAATAAATTGAAAGGTTGAGGGGGGGGGGGGGGTGCAAATCGAAAGTTTGAGGGGGGGAGGGGTTCAAATCGAAATTTCGATAGGGGGGGGGGGTGCAAATCGAAAGTTTGAGGGGGGGTGCAAATCAAAATATCGAGGTGGAATGCAAATCGAAAATTTGAGGGGGGTGCAAATCGAAATCTCGAGGGGGGGGGGGGGGCAAATAGAAAAGTTTGACCCCGGGCGCTGGGAAGGGTCGCTACGCCTCTGTACTTCATATTCATACTTTGAGAACCCTTTGGATAATAGAGTAGACACCTTATCGTGGTTAGCAAGAAGTGTTGTTACTTTATACAAAAAGACGATGGATGACAAAATCATAAAGTGGGGGGGGGGGGGAGTCATAATCCTACACCTCCCATTAGGGAAGGTAAAGGCAGCTGGAGATGGTGCTGACCACACTATCACTTCATATGCCGAGGTCACTGTAGAAGGTGAACTCTACTTCACCTTCCCCATGGACAAATAGAAAATGTAACCAAACCCTACGGTTATGGTTAACCTGTAAGTTAAAAAAAAAACATGCTTCAAATACTTCAAAGGTATTATTTTTTTCACAATTTAAACCCAGGATTTTAGTTAAGAAGTCCTGTGGAGCTTTTACAACAACCTACCGGCTTGAACAAAAGATTAACCCCCTTTATTAATTCCTCACTGAAATTCCAATAGCTAGCATTGTGTAAGCGCATGTTGGCTAAATAATAGTTTCCCCGCGTATACCTTTAAGATGGATGTAATCAACGAGTTGGGGGAAAAAACAAGAATGCTGACAACATATTTTGTTAACAGTCGGCAAAGTTATAGCTAAGCGTAGGCCTATGTTGTGATATCTAGTTTTTTAAAAAAAGATCAAAGTGCCTTTTCAGAACTTAAGACAGTGGTTCGATCGAACCCTAGGGTTCGGTATGTCGGTCAGGCCGGAGGTCAAGACACACACGTGATCGGATTTAGTCAGTGCCAGAGTTTCTTTCAGGCATCTCTTCAAGAAAGTCTACAGCCCCCCCACGAACGAAATGCAATTTATATAGAAATTATATACTTTTAACAGTGTCCCCCCCCCTTCACACCCCCACCCCACCCCAATAAAGTTCAAGTGCTCCCCACCCCGGAGAAAAAAACTCTGGAAGAAACACTGGTCAGTGCGGACGATAAAACTATAAAGAAGGTGAATGCGCATAAGAAACTGGTGGGGTTCGGTACCTCTAAAGAGGTTAAGAACCGCTGCCTTAAGACCACAGTGCAGACGTATAGTTCTATATCTAGCTAGTGAAAGGATTTTGTGGTTGATATGTATGTTCCTTCTAGGGTCGAGCAGCCATAAACATTTTGTAAAAAATTAATGTTTGTAAAAGTGACGCCCCCTGTTAGACTTGGTTTTTTTGTAACACATTTTGTTCTTTGTTCTTATCTACACTTCACAATCTACATGACATGGTATACAAGCTTAACTTGGTAGAGATTTGGAAACATACTTTTCGTGAACAATTCAACATGCACAAATCTATGTTTCACTGCAAATTTTTCACCATGCAAATAAAGCTAGAGACATGCAGTAACTATCGAGGGCCTTTTCAAATCTTTCAAAACATCAATGCATTTATTAGGTCTAGGTGACCATGACAAACTAATACGTGACAATATAAATAAAAGAAACGCCTATGGAAAATACGATGGAGATCGATTGTATGGTGGCTGGTAATTTAAGTCTGGCCAATGAAAAACGGACTCGTTATTCACAGCATCTCGACCAATCAAGCCGTGCAACGTGTTATTTATCTCGAGATATATTTTAGGTTGGTCTATCCACATTTCACAACCAGTTTCCAGAGTCAACTATTCAGCATTTATTGACACGATGAATAGTTTCTAAAGTTTACAACAGTGGTAAGTTTTTGTTTAAATAAAATTTGGTCAAAGGATTTGTTTTACCTATAATTTTAAAATAAGTTTTTTTTCTACAAACGTTTTGAGATAATACAGGGCGAGCATGTTTTAGGGTGGATTCTAATCTAGAAATTTTAAATTCATTAATTTAATGTCATTAACTGATGGGTTTGGTCCAAAAATATTTTTATGCCAAATATAAACAATGGTCTGATGCCTGTTCTGGCACTTGTCGTAGGCGCTTCAAATTTGGCAGGCGCTCGAATCCGGCCAATACAATGGTGAAATAATATAAGTAAGACTCTTGGCTTGGTCATGTCAGAGGAATAATAAAGGGACCGCAACTGACCAGCTCCTTAAATGAGTTGTATATCGAAAAAGTATCCCAGTGTACGAACGCCAACATAACTCCTAAGGTCGTATAACGATTCACAGATATCACATAAAATACGGTGTTACATTGGAGAAAACTTCACAAGGTCTTTTGAACTGACCAGTCAGAGTTCCTTATATAAATACTAGTTGCATACCCGTGCTACGCCACGGTAAATCTTTTTTTAACTGTACCAACTTGGGAACAGAACAAAAGTAAACACAACACAAACACAAACACAAAAGAAAAAACAAACGCAAATAAAAACACAAACGAAAACACAAATGCAACACACAAACACAAAAGAAAAAACAAACGCAAATAAAAACACAAGCGAAAACACAATGCATCACACAAACACAAAAGAAAAAACAAACGCAAATAAAAGCACAAATGAAAACACCAACACAATGCAAACGCAAAAGCAAAACAAACACAAACGAAAAAACAAACACATTACTCATAACATAAACACAACTTAAATACAAACATAAACGCATAGTGCTCACAGTTTAGCCCGTGGCGCCAAATCGACCCTGTCCAAGCGCCGTCGGACGCGCCTGATTCAGTGAATGACTATTAAAAAACCCAGCTTGTCCGCAAACGGAAAGTTAGATTAATAATTAGTTCAGTGTATAAAATATATAACAGGCAGTACTTAATATATTCGTGTTTTACCTACCATATTGCACTTTATCTATTCATGCATTTTTTTCAGTACTTTAAATTTAAAAAATGTACAATAGTTTCATTACTAAAACTATTGCGCACATAATGAACGTGATGACGCGTCTATAACAGTGCGGAATAGTTGATTAAAAATTATAATTAGTAAACGGGAAGTTTGGTGAGTACAATAACTAAAAGATAGCCTTTTATCAATCCAAGCAAATTATAATATTCCAACAATAATGTCCAATAATCGCTTTACACAATTCCTCTTATTTTCTTAGTCAATAATTATTCAACAACTATTTTCGTATAAATGAACATAAAACTATACTTGATATCGATATTACACAAAGTATCTACCTACCTACCTACCTGCCATCCTACCTGCCTGCCTGACTGCCTACCTGCCTGCCTGTCTGCCTATCTGCCTACCTGCCTACCGGCCTACCGACCCCCTACCTACCTACCCACCTACCTACCTACCTACCTACCTACCTACCTACCTACCTACCTACCTACCTACCTACCTACCTACCTACCTACCTACCTACCTACCTACCTACCTACCTACCTACCTACCTACCTACCTACCTACCTACCTACCTACCTACCTACCTACCTACCTACCTAGATACCTACCTACCTACCTCAGTCCCTCCCTCCCTCCCTCCCTCCCTCCCTCCCTCCCTCCCTCCCTCCCTCCCTCCCTACCTACCTACCTACCTACCTACCTACCTACCTACCTACATACCTACCTCCCTACCTACCTCCCTACCTACCTACCTACCTACCTACCTACCTACCTACCTACCTACCTACCTACCTACCTACCTACCTACCTACCTACCTACCTACCTACCTACCTATATGGACTAGATGACACATTTCTACATGACTGTTAGGGCTGCCGTAAGAGTGTCGTGTTTGATCACGTGATCTACTACCATTTAAAGCATACAACAACCATGTGCATTCCCATCACCACGATAAAGTAGATAATCGCTTTACACAATTCCAATTATTTTCTTGGACAATAATTATTCAACTACTATTCTCGTATAAATAAACATAAATTTATACTTGATATCGACATTACACGAAATATTATCTACCTACCTACTTACCTGCCAGCCTACCTGTCTGCCTGCCTGCCTACCTGCCTGCCTGTCTGCCTACCTACCTAACTACCTACCTGCCTACCGGCCCACCGAACCCCCTGCCCACCTGCCTGCCTACCTACCTACCTACCTACCTACCTACCTACCTACCTACCTACCTACCTACCTACCTACCTACCTACCTACCTACCTACCTACCTACCTATCTACCTACCTACCTACCTACTTCCTGCCTACCTACCTACCTACCTACGTACCTCCCTACCTACCTACCTATCTACCTCGCTCCCTCCCTCCCTCACTCCCTAACTACCTACGTAACGGTTCCCAGAAAGAAGCGCAATGGAAAAAAAACGCAACGGAAAATAGTGCAAAGAGAAAAAAAGCGCACACAGAAAAAAGCGCAAAAAGAAAAAAGCGCAAAGAGAAAAAAGCGCAGAGAGAAAAAAGGGCACACAGAAAAAATGCAAGCGGAAAAAAGCGCAAACGGAACAAAAGTGCAAACAGAAAAAAGCGCACACAGAAAAATGCGCAAAGAGAAAAAAGCGCAAACAGAAAAAAGCGCAAACGGAAAAAAGCGCACACAGAAAAAAGCGCAAACAAAAAAAAAGCGCAAACAGAAAAAAAGAGCAAAGAGAAAAAAGCGCACACAGAAAAAGCGCAAACAGAAAAAGCGCAAACAGAAAAAAGCGCAAACGGAAAAAAGGGCACAAAGAAAATAGCGCAAAGAGAAAAAAGCGCAAACGAAAAAAAACGCAAAAACCTACCTACCTACCTACTCACATACGTCCTACCTACCCACGTACCTACCTACGTACCTACCTACCTACCTACCTACCTACCTACCTACCTACCTACCTACCTACCTACCTACCTACCTACCTACCTACCTACCTACCTACCTACCTACCTACCTACCTACCTACCTATCTACCTACCTACCTACCTACCTACCTACCTACCTACCTACCTACCTATCTACCTACCTACCTACCTACCTACCTACCTTCCTACCTACCTACCTACCTACCTACCTACCTACCTACCTACCAACCTACCTACCTCCCTACCTACCTACCTACCTACCTACCTACCTACCTACCTACCTACCTACCTACCTACCTACCTACCTACCTACCTACCTACCTACCTACCTACCTACCTACCTACCTACCAACCTACCTACCTACCTACCTACCTACCTACCTACCTACCTACCTATCTACCTATCTACCTACCTACCTACCTACCTACCTACCTACCTTCCTACCTACCTACCTACCTACCTACCTACCTACCTACCTACCAACCTACCTACCTCCCTAACTACCTACCTTCCTACCTACCTACCTACCTACCTACCTAACTACCTACCTACCTACCTACCTACCTACCTACCTACCTACCTACCTACCTACCTACCTTCTGTACACAAAACACTTCTCAGATTATACAAAATTGTATTTTTAATTTTTTGCTTACTCGAGAATCAATGACGTCATATTAGTGTGTGTACTTTCCAGAAAATGTCCTACTATATGTTCCATGTGACGTCATTAATTAGGCGTAATGTCAGTCTTTTTATTGTAGAGTATCGATAACGTCATTTCTATTGAATGGGGTGGGGAGCGGCCTAGACTTTCTTACGGGAGGGGGACGGGGTGGGCATCGTCCCTACCTGAAGAGATGCACGAAAGAAACTCTGCACATAAAACACTTTTAGGAAACACTGCACGCAAAACACTTTTAAGATTAGACACATGAATCAGGCTGTAATGTCAGTGTTTTATTTTAGAGAATCGATGACGTCATTTATTTTGAGTGGGGTGGGCGGTTTAGACGTTATAACGCTGGGGGGGGGGGGGGGCTTCGCCCCTACCCGAAGAGATGCATGAAAGAAACTCCACGCAAAATACTTTTAAATTGGCTTTTTAATTCAATGTTTATTCGAGAATCAATGATGTCATATTACTGTGTGCACTCTCCGGCTTTAGACTATTTTCTACTATATGCTGCATGTGACGTCACGTTTCGTTTTTCGAATTACTATGCATGGTTTTACTCTTCTTGTGTTTTCTCTAAAGCGTTCTTGACAGATACGCAGACAGACAGCGAAACAATTATTATAGATTGTTAATTTGATGAAAAACTATGAATAGTTTCAAAACATTGACTTCCACCATTCGATAATATCTATAAGGAATGGAAAAACTATTTAGCAGAGAGCTAAAAAGTGACCAAGAAAAAATTATCTTTATATTAGCTATAGATAAAGAAATAAACTTTGCCTCACGACCCCCTTGTGCCGCTCCGCGAGGTTGTAGACCAATCTGCCTCTCGGTACAAACCCACAGGGCCATTAGATCAGACCAGATATCATATTTTCTTATATAAACAGCAATTTTTTGTTAAAAAGGTAAACAAACAATTCATTTGGTGTATGTACAAGTGATATAGCTTTCTAAAGAAAAAAAAAGTTTCAGTCCTTTAGAACTGTTTTAAGATCGGCTAAAATCAGCCAAAAAGAAATAAACGGTCTATTGGACAGGTAAAAATTATTTAATCTGTTTTTGTAACTCCTGCACTTAGGGATATAGTGTTTTAAGTTCTACGTCCTGACGATTAATGTTGGGTGAGCTAGGATCTGAACTCGAGACTTTTGGGACAGTAGGCGTGCACCCTAACCACGCTATCCCAGAGACAAATATTAAATAAGTAAAGGGAATGAAAAGGAAATATTTTGGTTCTAAATTATTAAAACATTAATTTTATGCTTGAAATGTTGGTGCAAAGTATTGATAAAATGATTTCACGGCCTATCTAAAGGGTAGGATTTTAGGCAAATATTTTTTATGACCTAAGCAAGGTTTAGTAAAGTAAATAAAATTATTGAAAATGTATTTTGTTCATATTTTCCACCTTGTGGACAATAATCTACAAAAATCTACTCTATTCGAACGCACTCGTGGAATAAATCTGTATAGAGGGTGTGAGTGGTGGGTGCAGATGCGTATCTAGGGGGTCGGCCGCCCCAGGCCGAACCTAGGGTGGGCACCAAAAGGGGTGAATTGTTTTTTTAAAGCTAATTTTATGCTGCAGTTTTTAATTATAAACAGTTTAAGAAAGAAATACAATGGCAACAAGCCTTAATATTCTTAACTTTTTTCTACCTTGATGGTGTAACTGTAAAACATGTACTCGTAGGTCTCTTCCTAAATTTAAATAGTAGTGTATAATTTACTTTCTCTTTTTTAGTGCATTAGTATATAAAAGCTTGTTATTACATGTTTTTAATTTTAAAACATTGTCTCCTTCTCATCCTCTTTGCTTGTGGACTTTACACCACCACTTTTTACCTGCTCTTATTTCATTCTCTACTGTCTGTAACCTAGTTCCGAGCCATACAGTAAAAGAGACTTCACATTTAGCTATAGATCCTGAATGAATTTTTTGACAATGCATTTGATTTCCACATCGGCTTAGACTGTTAAAACGCGTTTTATTTTTGCTGATTCAAATCAGAACGTCATTGGCGATGCCACTGCCATTAAACAAGTTATTACTGCTTTTTCAACTAGTACAATTATTTATGCATTTATTGTTGACTGCGTAAGAGAGGACATCGCACATCTTTGATCTGTTATATCCATTGGATTCCAGTTTGTTTCCTCTAGTGAGGTAATCTCAGTGGGAGATCAGTTTATGTTGAAGGTTCATGTGACAGATCGTTTTCCAAAAGGATACTGGGTCATCTAGTATAACCTAAACTAATCGATAGATATCGGTAGAATTTCAGATTCCTGAAAAAAATAAACTAATAATATTTATATAGACGACAGAAGTTGTGATATTAAATTTTGTTGACTGTTATAAGAACACTGATAAATCAAAAAAATAATATTTTTCAGATTTGTAACATCATGAGGTCCAGCTTTTATGCACTGGCATTAGCTGTGGTGATTTCTTCACATTCGACTGCAGGTGAAAACAACACTAACAGTCAACTTCCAGCTTTACAAAAACGTCAAAATCGGGTACCAGGCAAATGGGTAATATTATTCCAATACTTATCTCATTAACACAGTTTAAGCGAACCAATATTAATTACCTATGCTAAAAAATCTAATTTATAGGCATTTATAGTACGGTGACATTTATTTTATATAACAGTTTCATTATTCCCTCATTCTGTCTATGTGTCTAACAAGAACGGTTAAAAGAAATCATAAGGAAAAAAAACAACAACCACAGGCACATTGAATTACTTCGCATGATACGAATAGGACATTATGAAATCGAGTTAAACGAAACAAAACTTACAAAGTAGTAACTTCCCAAAAGTAGGCTACACGAAAATAATGGAGTCATTGATTATTGAAAACGACACACAATATTATTGACGTCATTGATATTAGAGACAATAAATTAAAAGCCTTTTTTACTTTCTCGTATATACGAAGTATAGAGAAAGCATTGTAATCGTGCATAAAAGATTTTTTACAAATCTCGACGTTTTACACCTCACCGATACGGAAAAACATAATTTTGCAATCTTGTCCGTATGTCTGTGTGTCTGTGTGTGTGTCTGTTTGTGTCTGTGTGTAAACACGATTACTTGAGTACCGTTACAGCTAGGTTGATGAAAATTAATATATAGGTATTTTATCAAAATCGTCAATCCATTTCAACTTTTGAGTGATTTCCGATAACCGGAAGTGGTACTTTTTCTACTTTGAATTTTTCAAAAGCCTATAACTTGAGTACTATTTCAGATAAATAAATGAAATTTCACGTGTAAGTAAAAGATCTATATCTCTACCTTCTATTAAATTTTAAGTAATTTCCGTTGACCGGAAGTACTAATTTACGCTATTTCCGATTTCTCACAAAACGCATGTAAATTTATAAAGTACTCATAATATTGCGCACTATTATGCACATTTTATTAGTCGTTCACTTGGTGTGCAATTCTTTTTTTTTTAACAAGATTCCATTCTATTATAAAAAGTTTAAGTAATTAAAACTGGATTACAAATATTGTCTTCGTCCTGAGTTGCCATCCCTCGTAGTTTTATATTAGAATATTCGAGAAAGTTTAGGGGAGATCACTCCCGGTTTATTACTTTCTCGTATATAAGAAATATAGAGAAAGTCTTGTAATCGTGCAAAAAAAAAATCGAGATTTTTAAAAATCTCGAAGTTTTACACCTCACTGATACGGAAAATCATAATTTTGCAATCTTGTCCGCATGTCTGTGTGTACGTGTGTGTCCGTGTGTAAACACGATAACTTGAGTACCGTTACAGCTAGGTTGATGAAATTTCAAATATAAGTATTTTATCAAAATCGTAGATCCGTATTAACTTTTGAGCGATTTCTGATAACCGGAAGTGGAACTTTTTTTTACTTTGAATTTTTCAAAAGCTTATAACTTGAGTACTATTTCAGATAAATAAATTAATTTTCACATGCAAGTAAAAGATCTAATTCTCTGCCTTCTGTCTATTTTGAGTAATTTCCGTTGAACTGAAGTGGTAGTTTTCACTATTTCCGATTTCTCAAAAAGCGCATGTGAATTTAAATAGTATTAATAATATGCCGCACTATTATGCACATTTTATATGGCGTTAACTTGATGCGCAATTCTTTTTTCAACGAGATTTTATTCTATTTTAAAAAGTTTAAGTATTTAAAATGGATATTAAAAGCATGTCTATATCCGAGTTGCCATCCCCAGTTGTTTCATATAATAATATTCGAGAAAGTTTAGGGGAGATCACTCCCAGTTTATTTACTTTCTCGTATACAGAGTATAGAGAAAGTATTGTAATCGTGCACAATCATCACAGGAAATTTTGACAGTTTCCACCGTTTTACTACTCAGTACTTCATCATAAACGGAGTACAGGGGACTTTTTCTACTTTGAATTTTTCAAAAGCCTATAACTTGAGTACTTTTACAGGTAGAACAATGAAATTTCACATACAAGTAAAACATACAACTGTCTGCCTTCTGTTAAATTTTGAGTTATTTCCGTTGAACGGAAATAGTAATTTACGCTTATTCCGATTTCTCAAAAATAGCATGTGAATTTATAAAGTTCTAATAATATCCTGCACTATTATGCACATTTTGTTTGGTGTGCAATTCTTTTTTCTACCAGACTCTATTCTATTTTAAAAAGTTTAAGTAGTTTAAAATGGTTTAAAATATTGTCTATATCCCGAGTTGCCATCTCCCGTAGGGTTATATAAGAATATTCGTAGGGTAGATCACTCCCGATTGATTATTTTCTAAGTTTAGAAGTGTATGTAAATATACAAAAAAAAATATTGGAAAATTAAAATATAGAGTAAACAACAGTATTATGATTACGGTTAAGGAAGGGTTATTAGGTTTCTATTACAGGTTAAAATGCCGATTCCGAATAAAGTTACGTTTCCAAATAATTTTTTGGTACCTATTATGGTTCCGATTTCGGTTAAGAGGGAAGGCTCCGTTAAAAAAAAACTTTTTTAATACTTGTTAGAATAGAGTTTTTTTAATACAGCTTTATTAAGATCCGCAAATGCATTTTCACTAAAAAATGGTGGAAAAATCTTGGTAACTATGACAATTTAAAAAAAAATTACCCCCATCGTAGTTTTTCCACCATTCATGAAATATTATATTTTATGCCCAATAAATAATGAATTCATAATCTACTTCCTTATTTTGGGGTAGGTACTCAGCTCAAAATTTTAAGTGCATATCTTCAAAAAATTTATTATGAATTTTTAAAATTTGTGTCCGTTCAAAACACTTAACTTTGGGGAATATTGGGGGCATTAAAACGGTTAAATTTCGTTTCCATTTTAAATCCTTTTTCTGTCTATATACGGGATCTAGTATAAATGCTTGTTTCGGATAAAGTCACTTTAATTCCTGTTCCTGTCTAAATTTCCGGATCCGTTTAAATTTCAGAAGCCGGTTTAAATGCCAGATCCTTACAAAATTTCCAGTTTAATTACTTTCTTTCGGAATGTTTTTCATTTTTGTTTAATATTTTATTCAGGATAAAGATTTGTTTCCACATAAGTTACCGTTTTGGTTTAAATATGGTTCCTGATAAACGTACTGTTCTTGTTAGCATGTTTACGTATAGATTTAGGTTGAGTTAGTGATATTCGTTTTGGCCTTTGTTAAGCATAAAGAAACACTATAAGCCTAGCGCCAATTGTGTTTCCCCCTCAAAACGGGCTATAAGTCTAGTAAAATATATCGTAAGCATTAAGATTTAAATTAGAATTTTATTTAGGGGCTACGGTTATTGTTAATTTCTAGGCATTAGTAAAAATGTGAACATTTCGTTTAAATAATAAAGTATAACCAAATGGCTTTACACATAATTAGTTAAATATCCTAGCTTTTAAGTACTTTGATTGATGTGATGTTCAATAGGTGATCGCAGCTTGCGACTGCCCTGTTGTTCGTAAGCGATGACTGTTATCGCTAAATACGGTTCTCGGCGATATTTCAAAAGGCGTTTTGTCCAAAAGGATATAGAGATCTATATCTCGAAAATCATTCGCCAAATTAATGTAACATTTTTTAATATTACGGGGAATGATTCTGTTCTTTTTTTCGTACAAAAAAAAACAACAACAATTTTTCAAGTTACGAATTTGCTACCGAGAGCATCAATATGCATTAGTATTAGTTTTAACTTTAATATTATAAGACACATTGGTAAACTTGCTAATGCGTATAAAAATTAAAATGAATTGATGCTATATTTTTAATTTTTAAAATGTAACATTTTAAAACTAAACTAAATCCAATACAATAAATGTAACCATTTTATATTGCAGTTTCAATTGCCCTACAGCTATCCGTTATTATTCACACCCGTCGGTGATGATGGTAGTGGTCAAATTGAGTTATCGTACATCATTTCCGGCTTCATCCCACCCAGGGCAGTAAGGTGAGTAACAAATCGTTATTAAAGCTATCCCAGCAAACGTAATGATATAAATCAAGCAAAGATTCTTCATATTCACCTATAATATAAAATGAACTAAAAATTCAACATTAACCAATGTTAAAATTATATTGCAGAAAGTATCTCAGATACCTTTACTACCAATTTACCAATTGACCAAAAAATCAACTTTCCCACTTACCAAATTACTAAGCTACCAACCTACAGACCTACCGACCTACCAACCAACCAACTAGCTAACCAACCAACCAACTAACCAACCAACGAACCAACCAACCAACCACAACCAACCCACCAATCTACCAACCAACCAACCAACCAAACCAACCAACCAACCAACCAACCAACCAACAAAACCTACCAAACAAACTACCAACTAACCAATCAACCAACTAACCAACCTATCCGCCTACCAACCAACCAACCAACCAACCACGAAAACACATATTCGCCTTTTTACGCAGAGACGCATGGGCGTAAGTATAGACATATCCATTCTGGCTTTAGTTGCATGCAAGACAGGCACAAAGATAGTAAAACAGTTTAATCACTGTTTAAAATCGTGTAGCTTTTTAATTTCTTAAATTGGAATGTGTATTATTCAATACTCAAGCTTTTAAACAATGTTTCTACCCCATTAGACCCCCCTCCAGCCCTCCCCTAGTTACACCACTGCGCCTTGTACAGATCCAAGTCTTTAGGACATCATTGAGCCAACATGTCCCAATGTGACAAGGCATAGAAACTTTTCAAGCTATATCTCCATATGCCAAGCTTACATAAACATATATGTTTAACTTCACCTGCCCAATAGCTCATATATGTATATTTTACTCTGACTGCTTTAAACCGATTAAGTAAATAATACATTTATGCAAACTTATTAAATAACCTCGGATGAAGCTTTTACGTTGCCTACTCAAAGTTATGTAGCTATAAAGTCTTCATCATCGGTTTGTTACGACTGATACATATTTAAAACAATAATGTAGTAGGCCTTTTTATCCGATATATAATTTATTCATTAAATGTTTTTTTTTAAAATATTATTCATTTAAATTTAAGTTAAACCTGAGAATTTGAATGATTTTACTATCTTGTATCTCGACGTTTTAGTGCTCCATGAGTCGGAAAACTTAGTTTTGCATTATAGTCCGTATGGGCATGAATATTTAAATACATTTTAATTTAAATTGCCTAAAATTTTAAAAATAGAATACTAATATATAAAAGCACATGTGCATACTTCTCTCTCTGTCCGCATTATTTTTAGGCTATGTGATACAGGCTTTTGTTTATAATAATATAGTGGGTGTTTTGAATGTATAAACTAAATTTTATTTAAAGAAGGTAAACTACCATTTCGCTCGTCTTCCTAACTTCCTCCCCGACAACAACGAACTCACACTAAAACGCCACTTTCTTTCGTACAGCGTCACACACTCACTCGTTCAATACACGGCCGCACCAATGACATCACATGTCACAATGTTCAACTACGGAAAGTACACACAGCTAATGGCGTCATCTTCCAATTTTAGAATATTAAGAAAGTAACTATTTCATTCAAATTTTATTTAGACCTATAAATCTACTTATCAAGACGTAGGCCCTACGCTATGAAATGTATACAACTTTCTCAGACAAAACTAAATCAAATTACTTTAATAAAAACAACATAAATACTATTTAACAGCCGGGTTTTGAAAGGAATCATTTAAGTCTCTTAATCAGTGTGTGTGCATTTAATATTGTGTTGTGTAGACTAACAATGTATACAATTTGGTTTGTCTATTGAGTATTGGTAGCCTTTGTTTTTTAAATTGTGCCGGATTAAAGCTATTTAGTTATTTCTTTGATTTTAAATTTACCGGAATTTTAGTTGTTCAGTTATTTCTTTGCGTTGTCACTAAAATCTCAAGGTGTAGTGTTGCGTATTGACCAAAACTATTTTATGAATTATTTTTTCTAAATACGTATAACATTATTAAATATATAGGCCTATAATTCACGTGTTACGGGGACCGACGGCTAGTAGAAATAGTATAAGGTATAAAAAAAGAATTGCGCATCAAGTGAACAGCAAACAATGTGTGTATAATATTGCGGAATATTAGTACTTTATAAATTCATATGCATTTTTTAAGGAATCGGAAATAGCATAAAGTACTACTTCCGGTACAAGGTTATTACTCAAAAATTGACAGTAGGCAGAAAATAAGATATGTCGTTTATGTGTAGATTTTCGTCTATCTATGGGATACAGTACTCAATGTTCCGATAGTTAGGGGGTTGAACCACTTGGTTCACTATCATGCGTGAATATCAGACAACATAGGCGGTATTTGTGCCATTACACAGGTGACAACACGGGTGACAATTTATTGACAAATTATATAGGTTTTCTCTTCTGATATTTATTCTAGTACTGGATTCATAGCTTATGCTTATAATCGTCAGCCCAATAGAGGTCTCCCGACTGAATCAAACCGGTCAATAAATACCATTTCATCAAGACGATTCAAGATCAGACTAACTCACACACAATGCACAGCAACCAGTCTCTACACAAAACGTCACTATCACACTATACGCGTCACACCTTCATTCGTTCAACATACGTGCGCACCAATACTCGCTCGCACCAACCTATACTGCAGCATGCATCACAACACACAAGTTATAGTTTATTGAAGAACCTAAAAGAAGTTACGTTACGGTTACCGGAAATCGCTGAAAATTTGATACAGAACTACAAATTTGATATAATACTTCCATATGAAATTTCATCAATCTAGCTGTAACGGTACTCCTGTTATCGTTTTTACAGACACACCGACACATATTGGGGCTTACACACACAGACAGAATTGCAAAACTATATTTTTCCGACTCATGGATGTCTAAAAGGTCAAGATTTAATTTTCGATTAATTCTTCTATACTTTGTATACGAGAAAATAAAAATCCTTTAAAAATGTCTTTGCATCATTTTAAAACATTTTTCAGGTTCACTTTGGAATTGTGTACAACTTTAACGTGTTTCCACGAGAAGGCGTTTCACTTCAGCGTCCGTTTAAATACACAAATAGTTATCAGGACTCATAAGAATGTGAATAATTGGGCACCGGAGCAAACAAGAGGAGCTATGCCTTTCACAAGAGGAACCTATTTTACACTTGAAATAAGACCTGAACAGACAAGATACAAGGTAGGAGATATGCATTTTAGAACCAGAGTTTAGTCTACCGTCTTGCATGTGCTTTCTGGTCGTACTGTCCGGTCGTGTTTTGTGGTCCGTATATATTGGCTACCACTGGAAATTTAGAGTATTCCCTAAGGTCGATAAGTTATGTCCTAGCTGTCAAAGTACAGTCAGTCCGCCTTCGTAAATCACTCTCAATCTCGTCGCGTGCGACGTAGATTACCTGTTGATACAAATCACGTCCCGTCACCCCGTGGTCAAACCCTGGTCAGTTCCAGATACTTTCTAGGCGATGGCCAGTGGCGTAGTGAGGTCGGGTGTCAACCGGTGCGGCACTTAATGGTGTCATCCCCAAGAGGCGCAGCGACCCTTCCCGGTGACAAACTTTCAATTTTCGATTTGCACCCCCTTCAACCTTTCGATTAGCACCCCCCCCCCTCCCCCACCTCAAACTTTTCATTTGACCCCATCCCCTCAAACTATCGATTTGCACGTCGAATTAATAACTTAATCAAATGGAATTTACATTTTTCTCTATATATTTAGCTATTTTTTGCCTTGGTGTCACCCCCTAAGTGGTTTTCACCCGGTGCGGTCCGCATCCGCCCCCCCCCCCCCCCTCTCGCTACGCCACTGGTCTGACCAGCTTTTCCGGTGTAATTTATAGTGCTAGCGATCTTGGCACAGCAGGTAGGGTCACTCTGGCAACGCCCGGGTTGATAATTAAGGCCTGAAATATTTTAGTATAGCAACTAATTATTGGCATTTATTCTAGATCTAGACAGAACTAGATCTAGATCTAAAATCTACGGCTGGCTTTACTCTAGTTTTTCCGTAGATCTAGATCTAGAATCGAGGTGGATAAATCCCTTGTATTCTCGAATTAGTTGATCTGTGAAGCTAAAACGCAAATTTATATCAAATATTTAAGGACAAAAATAGTTTAATAAAGAAACTCAATTATTTATTGTGTTTTTGTCTAAATAATTAATATAGGTTTGGCCTATCGGTAGATCTAGAATCTCCAGATCTAGACGAGATAAATTTATTGTATAGATCTAGATCTATAGTAATTTAAATAATAGTGTATTATTATAATGTGGTTTTGTGGGGAGTGGTAAATATGGTGCAAGGTAAATAAGAGATTATGGGAGGTTCGGATAGTGTGGTTAGGTGTGTTGTTTTGTTGTGTTGGGTCATGAAATTTGGGTAGTGGCGTTTGGGTTTTTGAAAGGTGTGTTGTCAGCTGAGCTGTTGAAAATGCCGTTTTGGTTGATATCATTCCTTATAATTATTTATTAAAAGTGAAATTATTTTTTTTACCAGAATTAAAATAGTTGTTGTGCTTTGTTTTATTTCCGTCTTTTCCTTTCTTTTATAAATTATATTGACATGTTCACATTAAATGAAGTCCGGGTATGCAGCTTGTATTGCCATCTTGCGAGTTCCCATGCAAAAGTTACGCAGTAGATATATATCTTCTTATTGAGATGTAATAATCGTGTACTAATTATATTCATTTTACAGATATCTGTAAATGGTACTTTTTTCACCACCTATGACTATGCAGTTCCAAAGGAAGATGTGAAATATATAAAAGTGTTTGGTGATGTAAATATCAACAGAGTTGCTGAATCTGTAAGTTGTTTTTTTTTTTAATCTTAAACAAACACGTCTTAAGTTATTCGGAATTTATCTTAATTTACGACGCTATGTTCCAAATCAAACAAAAAATTTCCAACCCATCATCGAAATAAAGCCTGGTATTTTTTTAAATTTTCTTTATAAATTACTTGTTTTCCCGAACTTGTACACTCATGGGCGCACTTCTCTCTCTCTCTCTCGCTCTCTCTCTCTCTCTCTCTGCCTATCTGTCCCTCAGATATTTTTCGATGCTTTGAGATCAGTATCTTCAGAAATATATGAAGAACATAAAGATATGGACTTTTTTTTAGAAAATTATATGTTGGAAGTTTTAAATGTAAAAACTAAATTTATTTAACACGTAAAAGCTGTAATCAAATGTCCAAACATATCTAATTATACAACCGGAAAAGAGTTTAAATTGGTGACAAGAATGATAAAAAAGAAACAAAAAAACTATCACTGGCTTAGAAAATATCGTCACATAAATAAAATTTTAAAACTATCATTTTGAAACCATGTACCCAACACTAATGGCGTCATTGATTGTATGAGAAATAAGTGACGTCACACTCTTAGGGGGGAGGGGTGGTCCGTAATTTTGTGACGGTGTGTAACAAGGGGGAGGGGGGGGGGATATCGAAGTTTTAAGAAAAATTCAACTGCAAATTTGAGGGGGGTTGTAGGCTGAGGTGTGACGTTATTTTAGGATGGGGGGGTCTGTATTTTTTTGTGACGATGTGTGACGGACGGGAGGGGGGAAGGTAAAAATCGTCAAAAAAGGGTGACGTCATTTATGGATAAACCCTAAGCAGGGAGTTATCTTCCCTAAACTTTCTCAAATATTCTTATATAACACTGCGAGGGATATCAACTCGTGATATAGACAATATTTTAAAACTATTTTTAATTCCTTCAGCTTTTGAAAATAGAATAGAATCTCGTAAAAAATATAATCTCGTAGAAAAAAGAATTGCGCACTAAGTGAACGCTTAACAAAATGTGTATAATTGTGCGGAATATTTTTGATACTTTAAAAATTCACATGCATTTTTTTAGAAATCGGAAATAGCGTCAATTACTACATCTGGTCAACGGATATTATTCAAAATTTGACAGAAGGCAGAGAATTGTATGTTTTACTTGTATGTGAAATTGCATTTATATACCTGCAATAGTACTCAAGTTATTGGGTTTTGAAAAATTAAAAGTAGAACAAATTCCACTTCCGTTTATCGAAAATCGCTGAAAATTTGATAAAGAAAAACAAATTTGATATAATACTTATATATGAAATTTCATTAATCTAGCTGTAACAGTACTCAAGTTATAGTGTTGACACACACAGAAATACAAACAAGTTTGCAAAAATATGTTTTTTTCCGACTCAGGGAGGTATAAAACGTCGAGATTTGCAAATATCTCAATTTTTAGCGCAATTTCCATTCTGGAGAATTGCGTTTATTAACCCGTCATTTCTGGATGTATGAATGGATTTGTGTCCGCAGCTTTAAGTCGTATCTCCTCCTCAACGAAGCAATATCGAGGACTAGTTTTGCACGTTTACAATACTTTCTCTATACTTCGTATAGTAGAAAATAAAAATTAATTTGCAATCGAGTGTTAAAAATGATACCCAATAAGATTCACTTCACTCATCTTCCAATTTTATAATATGAAGAAAAGTACTATTTCATTAGAATATTATTTCAATCTATAGATGTACTTATCAAGATGTACGTTATGAATTGTATACAACTTTCTCGGCCGAAAATATAAAAATGAAAATTTGTTTCAAAAACAACAAAGTTACCATTGTATAGCCGAGTTTTTAACAAAAACTGTTAAGTCGTGTAACCATTGCGGGCATTTAATATGGTGTTGTGTTGACTAATAATGTATATAATGTGCTTTTAATTTTTCTAAGGGAATTGGTAGCCTGTGGTATATTAAAAGTATCGAATTTTCGGCTATGTAGCTATTTCTTAGCTTTGTGACTAATATCGTTTAACGTGTGGTAAAGCACATTGTGTTTTGACCAATAACTATTTTATAAAATATATTTCTCAAACAAATATAACATTAAAAATAAGGGCATATTATTCGTCCGTCTAAAATGTAATGAAAAGTGTGGTGGGATAGTTTAATTTTATATAGTAAATCCATTCGTAAAACAATACCTATATAAAACAACTTAACACAATCAACTTAAACCCAAAACTAAGCTAAATACTAACATGAAAACCATCGGTTAAAATTACATCATTTTAAAATTCAAATGTTATATAAGCAGGGGCGGAACTACAGTGCCGCCAGGCCCCGCAATAGGGGGGAAGGCACGCGTTTAGGGGTCCCACGGCCGACCATAATCATTTTTTATAGTTTAAAAAACATTCAATTTTCTTGCATTTCGGACTCGATGGTTGTTTGTAAAACCAATACTGTATCTGCTATTGGGTTATTTTTATTCTATAGACACCATCCCACGCTCTTGTATTTTATTTATCCCTATGTTTTTATACCATTGTGAAAGCCGAGTCTTCCTTCACCTACAATCAAACACACGCTGTTGACGAAAGAATTCTTATGAAAAAAAAATCCATTGCGCGAGAGGCCACTGCCATGACTTATTTCCCTTTTTTAGATTTGTAATTAAAAATAATTGCTTCTTTTAATTATCTATATATATATATATAATTCTCTCCCGGAAGACGTTAGAAAACAAGCTGCAAGCGCCTCCTTACAGTCCCCTCTCTTTCTCTCTATCACTATCACCCCACCCCCACAAGGTCTGATGAGTTGTGGTCAAGCTAAATGTTTACAAATCGTAGAGCCGGGTTTAGTGACGGCTATTAGGGGCAGATAATTTAGTTTGAAACGATGTTATTAAACTTAGAGGAGGTAACTAAGAGGAGGCTGCTTTCACGTGGGGGGGGTAGGGTCGGGGTTAGGGGAAAGGGGGGGGGTAGTGTTTTAAAGCAAATATTTTCAGTGGCAGCATTGGTACTGTCGAATTCACAAATTATGAATTACTGAAAAATAGAAAATAAAACAACTAAATAGCGGCGTATGATACGCCGCGGGTCGGCTCGTTATTTTTAAAAAAAATAAAAAATAAAAAATAACATAGTACAAAAAGGGAAATGTATTTTAAATATTAATTATCAATTAAATTAGCTATATAAATACGAAAAAATATATAAATAAACATAACACGAGAAACCATTACAGATACAAAGCTTTCATGTTTCACATTCTTTTGACCGACTCTTTAATTAAAATATTACAGCAGACATAAAATAAAAGAACAGGTTTTCAAACAGACTAACTAATGCACTCATACACAAGACATGTTGTTATAATTTGTTTTAATTGAAAAAAAACAGTTGTTTTTCAATGAGTATCATATGTTCTTATTTCGTGTTTGTATACATATATATATATATATATATATATATATATATATATATATATATATATATATATATATATATATATATATATATATATATATATATATAAAGAGAGAGAGAGAGAGAGAGATGTAGATGTAGATGTAGATGTAGAAGTAGATGTAGATGTAGATGTAAATGTAAATGTAGATGTAGAAGTAGATGTAGATGTAGATGTAGATGTAGAGATGTAGATGTAGATGTAGATGTAGATGTAGATGTAGATGTAGATGTAGATGTAGATGTAGATGTAGATGTAGATGTAGATGTAGATGTAGATGTAGATGTAGATGTAGATGTAGATGTAGATGTAGATGTAGATGTAGATGTAGATGTAGATGTAGATGTAGATGTAGATGTAGATGTAGATGTAGATGTAGATGTAGATGTAGAGGTAGATGTAGATGTTGATGTAGATGTAGATGTAGATGTAGATGTAGATGTAGATGTAGATGTAGATGTAGATGTAGATGTAGATGTAGATGTAGATGTAGATGTAGATGCAGATGTAGATGCAGATGTAGATGTAGATGTAGATTTAGATGTAGATGTAGATGTAGATGTAGATGTAGATGTAGATGTAGATGTAGATGTAGATGTAGATGTAGATGTAGATGTAGATGTAGATGTAGATGTAGATGTAGATGTAGATGTAGATGTAGATGTAGATGTAGATGTAGATGTAGATGTAGATGTAGATGTAGATGTAGATGTAGATGTAGATGTAGATGTAGATGTAGATGTAGATGTAGATGTAGATGTAGATGTAGATGTAGATGTAGATGTAGATGTAGATGTAGATGTAGATGTAGATGTAGATGTAGATGTAGATGTAGATGTAGATGTAGATGTAGATGTAGATGTAGATGTAGATGTAGATGTAGATGTAGATGTAGATGTAGATGTAGATGTAGATGTAGATGTAGATGTAGATGTAGATGTAGATGTAGATGTAGATGTAGAATTAGATGTCGATGTCGATGTCGATGTCGATGTCGATGTCGATGTCGATGTCGATGTCGATGTCGATGTCGATGTCGATGTCGATGTTGATGTCGATGTCGATGTCGATGTCGATGTCGATGTCGATGTCGATGTCGATGTCGATGTCTAGATAGAGATAGGGATGGGTATGGGTATGGGTATGGGTATGGGTATGGGTATGGGGATAGGGATATGGATATGGGTATGGGTATGGGTATGGGTATGGGTATGGGTATGGGTATGGGTATGGGTATGGGTATGGGTATGGGTATGGGTATGGGTATGGGTATGGGTATGGGTATGGGTATGGGTATGGGTATGTGTATGAGTATGGGTATAGGTATGGTTCAATTTAGGCGCAATAGCGCTCAAGGTATAACCCAGAACGCCAAATCGTACCCTGCAGGGATGCCGAGGGACGATATTGATTATGATTAGTGAACGACTAACTCTAATACTACTACTCTTTCGCACTTAGGCGCCTGAGCGCTCGCGGGACAGCCAGATAAAGTCAAAGTTTATTGTTGCCCATTATATCTTTAGTGTATAGCCTTTTTTAAAAGAACCTACGCGCCATAGTGCTCACAGGGAGCCCTAGGCGCTTCTGGTGATGTAATAGACGGGGGCGCCGGCGACTGCGCGTGTTTTACACCTGAATAAAGTACTACTCCTTACCCGCTATGCCGGACGCCCGTTTAACGGATACCAAGTGCTTAGATAGTCGCTCTGGAACTATGGACGCCAAACCGTGTATTCACAAAAATTGCACCCTCCCGGGGCATTGCCCTTGCGTAATTAAAAAAGATGTTTTTGCAGAAACCTCGCTGAAGTGCTCTACTTAACTCCCTAAAGTTTCGTGACGATCGGATGAACAGTGTCAAACCACAATCGACTTTTAATTTTTTATACCGTATATCGAGATGAATCGAATCGAGCCCTCCCTGCGAATTTCAATTTTAGTTTTTCGCAAAAACTTCCCCAAGAGTATTCTCAACAACTTTCCAAAGTTTCATGATGATCGGATGAAAGGTGTTGTAATGCATAATTTAAAAAAAACACACAGACACACATACATTGCTTTTTATATATTGAGATCTAGATAGATAAATCCTTAACCCTTTGAGCCCTGGCCTCCCTGACCTAATTTCTACCATTTCCTGAGCTCCCAGGCCCAAACCAATTTTCACTTATCTGCTTCTAACTTTGCCTATAACTTTTGAACCGTTTGAGATAATCAAGCCAAATTTGGTATCCGGACTCAGGATCAAACATCATTGCAGCAAGATTCGAAATTCTTTATTTTTTTACAATGTATAAACAGAACAATGTATATAAAACGAACACGTAATTATTGTTTTGATAGAACATAGAAGAAACTAATTTACATTTAGTAATTGTTTTGTTATTATTGATACATGGCCATACTAGTTCATCGCCAGAAGTCCACTTTTGTGTGATAACTTTCAAAACAGTTATCACTGCCGGATTTGATGCAAAGAAAAATGCAAAGAAAAGCTTCGCATGTTTTTCAACAGTAAACAGTTTTTTTCGTTTCGGCAAGTCTTTTCCTTGGCACCACGTGCATCATAACGTACTTGAACAGTTTCATTGTCACTGTCGATTTCAATGTCACTGAGTTCAGTCTCAAATTCAACGTCACTATCATCATACTATAGACCAGGAATATTATCTTCTTCATCAGAATCAATATGTAGTTGTATTGCCTGAGATGCAGTCATTCTACTTCTTTTGTTGATATTTCGGTCTTTTGCTTCATCTTTTGCACCAACTTTATATGCTGAAGTCGATGGCTGTGGCTCAGCTTTTCGTTTCGGCGGCATTGCTGCGAAATGTAAACACTTTCACTTTTCCTAAAATCTATGTTTAGAATCATAATCACGCACTAAAAAGACATATGCGCAGTTTTGGTCAGTCTCCCGCTAATTATATTTAATTAGACTGTATACCGGCCGCTAGGAATATGACGCTAGATCATCGGGCCGGAAAACCGGCTTTTCGGACATATATGTCTAATGTTGAAGCCGGTTTACTGGCCTGGCGGGCTCAAAGGGTTACGAATTAATAATAGATATGTTTTTTTACAATAGCCAAGACTTCCTTATACACACAATTTAAACAATTCCGCAAAATATACCATTGACATCTACAGTAGCTTACATTTTATCTGTTTAGTATAGATCAGAATGTAGGCCTATGTATAGATTTATTTTTTATTTTTTCTTCGATCTTATGACCAACCACGTTCACCATTCAAGTTAACCTTTTCCTATTATTCAGATATTAATTTAAATGCTTCTTTCTGTTTAAGTAGGCCTATGTCTTTTACAGTTGGCTCCCTACTTTATATTATAATGTAAAATAAAAAGTTTTAATCACTATTGATACTATCTTGATTACTGTTTTACAGATTTTTATCGTTCAATTGATTTTCATTTGTTTTTTGTTTTTTTTGTTTTCGTCTTTTTTATTTTGAAGAGTAAGTTATGTTTTTCTTCTTATAAAAAATATGTTTCAAGCTGAACTAATGCTAACGGAACACGAAAATTTATTTCTTAAAATCCTTCGATATTTTAAAATACTTAAGCATACAGTCGCCTCACAAGTGTTTTCATGAAAGTAGATACTAATAGCTGAGTTTGCCGTTATTTTACTAAACAGGGAACACGTAGAAAAGCTACAGGTATTTATTACCTCCGAACGCTAGCCACGGGTGACAATCTACGCTCCAAGATAACAATGATTCCTGGTTCTAGATGGTAACTGGATCGTTTTTTTTTTTGTCTCTTAAATAGTTGTCTATTAATTGAAAGGTATATTTTTAACATTATTTCTTTAGTAAAATTGCTGGTCTTTTAAAATACTTCAGATTTAAAAGTGACCAATTCTGGTAAAAATTGAAAGCCTGTTATTATAAAGGATTTATGTCGCTTTTTATTTTTTTTTTAAATATAATTTTTATAAAGTCAAGGTTTGTTTTAAATATTTTTAGGAGGTTCACAATCTATCTATGTGACGAAACTTATGTCCCTGGTATGGACGACTTTCCAATTGCATATCAGATGTCGAGGAGGCAAGATGGTCAATTCGGCAATATGTTTTTAACACGCATAGGAACTGTTGTACGATACCCCAAACAAAATTTCACGGCGCAGGATAATTTTCAGGTGGACTTGGAAATCTTGGATGGACTCGTAAAGGTCAGGCTAGGTTGTATCTTAAAACTGACAGATTTTAATTTTGACAGATATCTTGCAGAGTACATAACCCAGGGACCGAACTACGGTCGGGCTGGACAAGGTGGGGGGCAGTGTTTCTTCCAGATTTTTATTTTATCCGGGGGGGGGGGGGGGGTGGCACATGAAATTTTCGGGGGGGGCGGTAGACTTTCCTCGGGAGAGGGGGGGCGGACACTGTTAAAAAAATATATTTTCTATATAAATTTCATTTCGTTCGGGGGGGGGGGATGGGGCTCTGTCCCCCCTCCCAAAGAGATGCCTTGAAGAAACTCTGGTGGGGGAGGGGGTATGTAAATTGATTTTGAATTTAATTTTAAAAAATAAGATCTTTAAATTCACCTGAACATTTTTTAATTGAACTTTATTATATTTGTTTAAATAATTAACAATATTAAAGTTTTATTTTCAGTCCTATGTTGATAATAAATACACCGGAGAACATGTCGTAGATACGTCGCGTGTCTTTTATCAAGTCCTTCATGGTGAGGGTTATAGTCAAGCAACTTCAGAGTGTTATCGCATCCCATAAACATTTCAAAATGAGTGTCGACAAATTGTCATAATGAGCCAAATGCCCGTAGACCATTTATGCAGTAAAAATCTTGAAAATTAAACAATGTTAACATTAAGTAAATTTAACGCCGTTTTAGTTTATAAAAATTTAATACCATAGCTAGAACTTGTTTTATAAAACGGTGCTTAGAAATTTTGATTTGATATTACATTGACACATGCTGTGCCACTGTGATCAGATGCGTTTCGATTGTTGTAATTCAAACCACCCGGTTTTTTTTTTAAATTGAATATAGTTGCCTTAATAAACACAGATTATATCTATAGTGATGATATAAACACCGACAATACTATTATAAATATAACTTAAAGAATTTCGCCTGATTAAAATATATTATTATATATCTAAATTTAACTTTATAAGTTACTCATATCCTTAAGTACAGTCAACCTAATTGAAAACTTTTTAAGGCTTTTTGAGCTATCGTCGGACAACTCTTCTACGTATACTAAACCTATATAAACCTAAGCAATTCACCTACACATACAGACATATTAGAGCCAGAACTACAACTACACTCACACCTAGACCAACATCTAATCCAACAGCTACAGCTAAAATATACACCTACACCTACACCTACACCTACACCTACACCTACACCTACACCTACACCTACACCTACACCTACACCTACACCTACACCTACACCTACACCTACACCTACACCTACACCTACACCTACACCTACACCTACACCTACACCTACACCTACACCTACACCTACACCTACACCTACACCTACTCCTACACCTTCACCTACACCTACACCTACACCTACACCTACACCTACACCTACACCTACACCTACACCTACACCTACACCTACACCTACACCTACACCTACACCTACACCTACACCTACACCTACACCTACACCTACACCTACACCTACACCTACACCCACACCCACACCCACACCCACACCCACACCCACATCCACACCCACACCCACACCCACACCCACACCCACACCCACACCTACACCCACACCTACACCTACACCTACACCTACACCTACACCTACACCTACACCTACACCTACACCTACACCTACACCTACACCTACACCTACACCTACACCTACACCTACACCTACACCTACACCTACACCTACACCTACACCTACACCTACACCTACACCTACACCTACACCTACACCTACACCTACACCTACACCTACACCTACACCTACACCTACACCTACACCTACACCTACACCTACACCTACACCTACACCTACACCTACTCCTACACCTTCACCTACACCTACACCTACACCTACACCTACACCTACACCTACACCTACACCTACACCTACACCTACACCTACACCTACACCTACACCTACACCTACACCTACACCTACACCTACACCTACACCTACACCTACACCTACACCCACACCCACACCCACACCCACACCCACACCCACATCCACACCCACACCCACACCCACACCCACACACACACCCACACCTACACCTACACCTACACCTACACCTACACCTACACCTACACCTACACCTACACCTACACCTACACCTACACCTACACCTACACCTACACCTACACCTACACCTACACCTACACCTACACCTACACCTACACCTACACCTACACCTACACCTACACCTACACCTACACCTACACCTACACCTACACCTACACCTACACCTACACCTACACCTACACTTATTCCTACACCTACACTCACACTTGCGTCCACATATTTGCAAACATTTGCGTTTACATTCAAGCCACACCAAAATCTACAAATTGATGGTATCTGTTATTTGTTTTTGTTGTTTTTGCCTTGTTGCTATGAATTATTCTAATTTTCATTCGGGCGCCAAGAAAACTCTTTACTCCTACTCCAACACCTATAGCCACATCTACTCCTTCACCACCACCAACACTTAAACTACCCTACACCCACATTAACAACAAACCTACACCCACATCCACACCAACACACGCATAAACTTACAACGTCAGAGGTACAGACACCTACTTAACACTCATTCCTTTATCAGCACCAGATTAATATGTCCATTCTCTAAAAGGAAATTCACTTTTTTCTATTTAGGATAATCACTTCTACAAAATAATGTGAAGGGTAAAATGTTTTAAAAGAAATATGTAATTTTTCAATTGAAGCAATATTCACTTGAAATCAATAATTTCCTAATGAAAAAACAATCGAAAAAACATTTTTTTTTAATTTATTACATGTTTTCTTTATATATACTACTTGGAGAGGTATTTTCTATGATTCAGTTGGTCATTTATATCTTTGTAATTTCTTGCCCTCAGTGTTTCTTCCAGACTTTTTTCTTCGGGGGGGGGGGGGGCACTTGACATTTTCGGGGGGGGGGGGTGCGGTCAACATTTTTAGGAGGGGGGGGGGGCGGACACTAGTAAAAGTGTATGTTTACTATATAAAATCCATCTCGTTCGGGGGGTGGGGACGGTAGACTTTCCAGATGCCTGGAAGAAACTCTGATTGTCCTACCAAACATCAGGGTTTACGAGTGCCGAAGTTATGATTTTGTTGGCAAAAATGTTTTGGCTTTCAAATATGATTAGTGTTACCCACGTTAAAGCGAATTTCAAATCAACAAAAGAAATTATAATTAATTATTACAGTTATAAATAATCAAATTTTAGATTTTTTTAGATTTTAAAAAAGTATTATGATACTTCGAATTTGTATATAAGTACCGGCTAATTATTTAACAGTTTATTTCAAAGTTACAATATCATATTTTGAAACAAAATTATTTAAACTCTTCAACTTTTTGTTTTACTATTCCCCAATGTAATGTTATCAGAGAATGTTTAAAAGTTAACTTTATCATAGACATTTTTTTTCTAAATATGTATTTATCTATACTATATCACAATAAAATGGGTTGCAGTTAAAAATACCAATCGTATTGTGTTGTTTAATTTCTTCTTGTCAGGTAATTGTACTGGATTAGAAATATCCAATACAGTGTTTCGACCGACCTTAACGAATAGCCAACAATAGATAATTACGATGAAATCATACCTTGGCGATTTGTTTGTCACGTCCCTAACATTACACACATAGTTCCTCACACAAACCACACACTATGTTTGTCAATGTCCCTAACATTACACACATAGTTCCTCACACAAACCACACGATTTGTTTGTCACGTCCCTAACATTACACACATAGTTACTCACACAAACCACACACTATGTTTGTCAATGTCCCTAACATTACACACATAGTTCCTCACACAAACCACACGATTTGTTTGTCACGTCCCTAAAAGTACGCACACATAATTCCTCACACAAATCAGACAATATGTTTGTTAACATCACAAACATTACACACATAGTTCCTCACACAAAAATTACAAAATTTAAATTTAAAAAATTAAAATCAAATTAATTAAAATCAAAATAACAATTAAACTATTTAAAAAACAAACTCATTAAAAACAACAAACAAATATACTCATTAAAATCTCATTAAAATTACGTAACTAGATCACCACTGGTGATAACGTAACTAGGTCACCTATGGTGATTACGTCACAAGTTCACCGGTGGTGACCTACTGACCTACTCCCCATCCCCCAGTCTGTGCCTGCGCCTGCGCCTCCTCTCCATCCCCATCCCCATCCACCTGCGCCTGCGCCAGTTGGCGAAGTATTTTACTTTATATATAATGTCTAACCCTCCACCTTCACCCTCCGCCTCCCCCTGCGCCTGCGCCAGTTGGCGTAGTATTTTACTATATAACATGTCTAACCCTCCACCTTCACCCTCCGCCTCCCCTTGCGCCTGTGCCAGTTGGCGTAGTATTTTACTATATAACATGTCTAACCCTCCACCTTCACCCTCCGCCAGTTGACGTAGTATTTTACTATATATCATTTGCGCCTTCACCCTCACCCTCCACCTTCACCCTCCGCCAAAAATAATAATCAAAAGTGACCTAAATAACAAACCAGCGCTTGATTGAAGAAATAATGTACTCTTTTTATCTTTTTTCACTTCACTACTTTATCTCTCTAAATCCATAAGATTAGCAAACAAATAATTACAAAGTAGACACAACAAATGTTTTAAAAAAGCACACTGTTTAAAGAATCGTAAACAAACTTTATACAATTAACTTCAGGTGATGGTTTGTACATCGGTATTCCATATTATAAAAGCCGCTTTACATAAAACGAAAATAATGACGTTTTTTATATATGTGCTTGTATGTGTGGTTTTATGTGTGCGTGCGTGTGTAAAGTCAAAAAAATAATTACAATATACGCGTTGTTTTGTTGTTTTTTCTTTTTTTTTTTTCATTTTTTTATAATGTTCAAATTTACGAGATAAATGTGCACAAAGAATTCAACACTTGCTTTCATAAAGGAATAAAACTTTCTATATTTTTAAAAAATAAAAAAAAACATTAGGCCTATCAAAAGATGTTCGTAATACAGTACTACTTAGTTCAATTATAAACAACGTAAACACTATTCGATTGATAAACAGTAAACACTATACACCACTGTAGGAAATAAACCGAGAGTGATCTCCCCTAAACTTTCTCAAATATTCTTATATAAAACAACAGGTGATGGGAACTCGGGATATAGTTATGATTTTTAATCCGATTTAAATACATAAACTTTGTAAAATAAAATAGACTCTCATAGAAAAAAGAATTGCGCACCAAGCGAACGCCAAATAAAGATGTGCATAATAGTGCGGAATAGTATTAGTACTTAGACTTTATAAATTCACATGCGTTTTTTGATAAATCGGAAATAGCGTAAAATTGTACTTTCGGTCAACGGAAATTACTCACAATTTAGCAGAAGGTAGAGCTATAGATCTTTTACTTACATGTGAAATTTCATTTATCTATCTGAAATAGTACTCAAGTTATAGGCTTTTGAAAAATTCAAAGTAGAAAAAGTACCACTTCCGGTGATCGGAAATAGCTCAAAAGTTGATACTGATCTTCGATTTTGATAAAATACTTATATTTCAAATTTCATCAACCTAGCTGTAACGGTACTCAAGTTATCATGTTTACACACACACAGAGACAGAAGTACAGACAGACAGACAGACACACACACACACACAGACATACGGACAAGATTGCAAAATTATGTTTTTCCGTATCAGTGAGGTGTAAAACGTCGAGATTTGTAAAAATCTCGATTTTTTTTTTTTGCACGATTACAAGAATTTCTCTATACTTCGTATATACGAGAAAGTAAAAAAAATACAACTCCTACTTGGCTTTTAGAAAATAATAATGAAGATTTGCGAAACGAAACAATCCACCGGCACAACAGCTTAATTTAGCCCAGCAACCCACGGATGTAGTAACTAAATCTAACGTCTGGTTGGCGCGTGGATCAGGTTACGAAACTGTAGGGACGTTATTGCTTTCCTGCTGGGGAAGGGAGGGGTTGGGGTTGCTGAAGATGGGGACGATATGTTAAAGGGCGAGGGGGGGGGAGGGGGTTAATGGAGGGGGCGGACTGACCTGAAGGGGTTAAAATAGAAGGAACCCTTTGCACCTTGGCAGTAAACGTGACAACCTGACGTGATC